CTTTTTAGTATTTATTTAGTATTTATTTATCTTGATTTTTTTCAATTTATGAACCCAGCCCTTGACATCTCAGATTGTACTCTATGGTGTCAAATTTAATCATATTAATGCAAACAAATAGTCTTTCTCATTCTGGCTATGCTAATTTCATTTATTATACTTTCCTCCAAGTTTTTCTACTTTGTCAACTTTTGGAAGGCTCTTCCCCCCCCACCTCTTCTTTCCTCCTCCTCCTCCTCCTCCTCTTCCTCCTTGTTCTCCTCCTCCTTTTTTGCTTCTTTTTCTTCCTTCTTCTTTCTTCATCTTTATTTATTTGGGCACCATATGCTTTTCATTATTATAGCATTGTAATTTATGTTGGAAATCAAAAAGTGCAATGTTTCTAGCATCCTCTTACTTTCTTAAGATTGCTTTGACTATTTGAGATTTTTTTCATGTTTCCATATTACGTTTAAGGTTCATATTTTTTCTCTACTTCTGTAAAAATAGAGAAAAATAGAGGTGATGTTAGGGATTGTATTAGATTTATAGATTTATTTGAGCAATATGAACAAGTGCAACATTAAATTTTTCAATCTACAAACATAGACTATTTTTCCACTTGTTTGTTCAATCTTCAGTTCCTTTAACCACTGTAACAAAGTATTCCCTGTGCCAGCATTTCACCTTCAAGGTTCAGTTTGTTTTTTGTTAGTATCTCATTCTTTTGATGCTCTTGTAAACATAACTCTGTGTTTACTTTCTATTTTAGATTAGTTGTTAGTGTGTAGATTTACAAAATGATATTTGTGTGTTGATTTTGAAGTATGCATGTTACATGTAGCCTTCTGGATTTTTTTTTGGTTAACTTACTACTATTTTATTGACGTTATTCTAATTTTGCCACTCCTGGGGCTTGAACTCAGGGCGTGGGCACTGCCCCTGAGCTTCATTTGTTCAAGGCTAGTACTCTACCACTTGGGTCAAAGCACCACTTCTGGCTTTTTCTGTTTATGTGATACTGAGGAATTGAACCTGGGGTTTCATGCATGCTAGGTAAGCAGTTTACCATTAAGCCAAATTCCCAGTCCCGATGTTGTTCTAAATAGTTATAATTCCTTAATTTTTTTGGCTTCTAAATTTGATGTTCTGTGATCATACACCAGTTTATATCCATTCTCTTTTCAGTTGAACTAGGGATTCTTCTGTCTTCATTTTTGCTCTCACAAATGTTCCTTCCTTGAATTTTTTTTTGAGTTCATCCTTGAATGCCTTCTTTCATTCTTTTTTTTTTTTGGGGGGGTCCGGTCGTGGGGCCTGAACTCTGGGCCTGGGCGCTGTCCCTCAGCTCTTCAGCTCAAGGCTAGCGCTCTACCACTTGAGCCACAGCACCACTTCTGGCTTTTTTTTTCTTATGTGGTTTTGAGGAATCGAACCCAGGGCCTCATGCATGCAAGGCAAGCACTCTACCACTGAGCCACCTTCCCAGTCCCTCTTCTTTCATTCTGATTTCTGTCCTCCTAGAGAAAGCCTCTAGTAACTCTTTCCAAACAGCCTTACTTTCATCTTTTGGTAAGTGTGCCTTCCTATTGTTCTTTGATTCTCATCTAACACTGAATTTACTCATAGAGGCATTCCCAGACCATTCTGAGTAAGTGGATCTCCAATTCGTTTTATCTGAATCATTTCATTCTGAGATTTTTTTTCTTCACATAGCATGTGTATGTACATGTATTTATATGTATCTATCTGTTATCTATATATCTATCTTGTTTATATGTATGCATGCATTCATGTATGTATCCACCTGTTTATGTTTTTATTCTCTTCTCCACAGTGTGCTTCTGTCTCCTTTATTAAGTTCCCTGAATACAAAGTATATACATATTTATTTTAGCATTTATCACAGTACTTGGATCTGATGAAATGTGCAATGAGCATTTGTGAAATAAGCAAATGTATTAACATATATCATTAATGTTTATCATAGGAAAATTCTAGAATGCTTGTATGTGTGTGTGTGTGTGTGTGTGTGTGTGTGTGTGTGTAAAATTTTTGATGTCATACATTTTCCATTTAACTAGATTTTCTAGGTACTCCAGATATTCAACTGTATGAAATAAAATGTTGTTTCTTGGCTACACTTTACTTCTTCAATGGAAGAAAGTAGAATTGCATCAAATCTGTAAAGTTGGTTGTATCTAGAAATGTAACTGAGTCTTATTGTTCTCATATCTTTGTTGCTTAGGAGATATGAATTCTTCTCTTGTAGACAGGTATGAATTGAGTTAGTGAAGATGGAGAGTACTAGCAATAAGTTTTAAAATGCAATTATGAAATCGAACTTCTAAACAACTAAGTTGTTAGGCAGAACTGCTAACGTTGGGAATCATTTTACCTATGATAAATATGATTAAAAGGATGTGGTTGTATCCCATGAAAGCATTATATGATAATTTTTAAATGTCAGATGAGTTTAGTAAAATCTCACAACTTAAGTGCCACCTAAAAAGCAAGAATTACACTAAATTACTTCTGGAAACCACGTGAATAGGATGATCCTCTGACTTTGGGCAATTCAGATGCATTTACAAAAAATTGTATAGTTCCAAATTGGAAAGGAGCTCTTGAGGTGACATGCTCTTCTAGTATGTTAACTAAACCCAGGGCACAGTAAGGGATGGCTGTCATTTAAAGTAGCTGAACTGCTACCTTCATTTTCTTTTAAGTTTCAACCTTAACATTAATGGAAATTATTGCCTGCTTCTCTCCTGCTTCTGAAATAAGATTAAAGGAGTAACTTTATGGGGTGTGTTTTCAAAGTTCTTAGAAAATATCTAAGTAGTGTGAGAGTACCCTTGCAAGCAATGGGTTTGATGCCATTTTCCCTATCAATATTCTACATCAGGTTGTTGAAGATGGCTAAGTCTTTTCATTAAAGTGCTTGTTCTCAATGTAAATTCTAAAGCAAATTTCAACTTTTACTCTTACATTTGTTTGTCATTTTTAATATATAGAGGGGTTACAGATATAAGAATTAGGTACAATTAGTAAATTCTTTTTTAACCATGTATTTCCTTTCTGTTGCTTTCTCCCATCTTTCCCTCTTGTCCCCAGCCATAAGATATTCAGTTCATTTTCCCCATAGTGTCTACTGAGTATCACTGTTGTATTTATTCATCCTTGTTTCATCTTTTATGTTCCTTCCAAGTCCTTGAACTTGATGTTTCACTTAAAATTTAAGACCATAAGAGGACCTTAAAAGCACTATTAAGTGAATTAGACTAGGTATCCCGTTAAGATGTTGAAATGATTTAAGACTCAGTATAAGTTGTTTACACTGGAACTTTCAAAATGACATGTTAGCCAGATGTCTTTAGTGAAAAATGATGTAAAGTACAGTATTTATCATTCCAGTCTTCCTCTTTGCCCTGAACTAAGAGTGTCTGTCCAAGGTACAAATCAGGGCTAGAGGATCAGGTTTGATATAATTTGCAATCATTTGGTAGATAAGAGTTATTCAGCTTTTGGTCTAATTCAAAGAAGCCTTTGGCACTATGATCTAAATATCAGATTAGAAGATTCATAATTAATCTTAATCAAAAGTAGTGTCCAATCAGTGTTCTACACAGGATAATTTTCAGTTCTAACTAGACCACACAATTGTATGACACAGTTCAAAGTGCTTTTGTGTGTATTAATTTTTCATTCATATTGTTTAATGTTAGTAACAAAAACTTATCAACCAACTTTTATTTGCTCATTATCATGCAGTGTTCTTGTGATCTAACATAGGACAGGGAAAAGGCTGATCTTTGGCTTTTTTACACTTATGATTCAATTGTTATAACAATTATAAGACTTCTAAAACTTTTGACTTATCTCTATCAGTAGTAGAATTGGCAAAACTTTTAATTTTTGTAATTGACACATAATAATTATACATGTTTTTATGGTGTGCTATGTGATGTATTGATTCAAGCATATATTGGTAGTGATTGAATCAGGGTGATTAACATAGCCGTTATCTTAACTTAAAAAGTAATCATTCCTTAACTAGGCGCTGGTGGCTCATGCCTGTAAACCTAGCTACTCAGGAGGCTGAGATCTGAGGGTTGTGGTTCAGAGGCAGTCCAATCAGGAAAGTGTGTGAGAGTCTCCAATAAGCCACTAGAAAACCGGAAATGGCTCTGTGGCTCAAGTGGTATGGGGCTCGTGTTGAGCTGAAGAGCGCAGGGACAGCACCCAAGCCCAGAGTTCAAGCCCCACGACCGACAAAAGAGAAAAAAAGAAAAAAATCATTCCTTTATCTGGAATATATTCAAAACCCTAATGTCTAGGTCTTTCAAGTTAACACATTATTGTTGACTGTATTTACCTTACTCTGCTACTGAAAACAAGAATATATTTCACCTAACTATGATTTTGAAATTTTTGATCAACCTCTTCTCATTTTTCTTACCTACAACTCTGTTGGTAACCACTATTTTACTCTCAGCTCACTTAGGGTCCACTTTTTTTGTATATGGATTCTAAATACGAATGTACTCATGTAGTATTTTTAATTTTTTCTTATGTTGAACAACATACAGATTTATTCATATTCTGGCTATTGTAAATCCTGCTGCAAATGTCATACTTCACAGAAGTAGAAAAAGAACTTTAAACTTCACATGGAAATAAAAATGATTCCAAGTACCATGGGAAGCTATATTTAGCAAAAAGACAAATGCTATTTAACACCAACAAGCAAGCACACAAAACCCCATAGTATTAGACCTATTGTTTTACATTTTATTAAGTGATCTTGATTTTTGTATATAATTTGTATTTTTCATTGACTTCTGTAAGAAAATAATTAAGCATTTTTCCTTTGGTGTTATTTTTCACCTAATAATCCCTGTGAATTTTGATAATGTTTTTTTCCTTTCTCATTGATCATGCCTATAACACACAGAATACATTCAAGCACTAAATTCTTATGGAAGAAATGTAGCATTTTGCTTCTTCTTTTTTTTCAGGGGATGACCATTCGTCCTCTTGTCGACTTACTAGATGTGACAAGAAAGAGAGAGACAACTCCAACTGTGAGTGAGCAGATTCTCATTCGGGTAAGCCATGCATTTATCATCATCTAAGTAATCTTGTTGACTGGAGCCAAACCTTACATGATTGCTTAATTTTTAAATTATTTTCCTAATAAAATGAGTCATGATTTTCTGACTTACGTAGATAGTTCCAATTGTATACTCATAACAAATTATGTTTTAGCTTGTCTTTCATGACAATATTTTAAAATATATTTGTATTTGTAGACTATCATTTGAATTAGATGTTTTATTTCCTTATGAGGAGATTCAGGTTATATGATTTTGTGATTTTTATACTAATCTTAGCATTCATATGTTTTTGTTATCTGCTCTTGTTCCTATTCTGGACCTACACGTACCCAGATTTCTTTTTATGATTCCCCTACAATGTTACTTATTTCTCCAAAACATTTTGCTTTTATATTGTTACCATTAAATAGAATGGCTTTCTTTTTTCATGAATACCCACATTTCATCAGAGCAGTCTCACAATGCATATTTGCATACATGTGGGACTTCCATAATTCCACAGTCTTTTACTTATTTACTGTATATTTGCCTTTTCTTGTTGCATTGACTATATACATATGTCAAGTTTTTACTTGACTTCGATCTACTACTTCTTTACTTCATGCCTCTTCAATCATTTCTAAATCTTCCAAGAGCTGGGGCGTTTTACTTCTATTTCCTCCATAGACCAAAACCAGTTCTTTGGTAGGTTACTGAATCAGACATACGATACTGATTAATATGAACTTTGTCCATTTCAAATTGTGCATTTATGAACTTTGATTAGGGAATTCTACAAACATCAAAACATTTAACTACAGATACTTCTTGTTATGTTAACCTAAAAAGAGAGGCTAAATAAGCAAGTGAGGTGACATAATTTTGAAGGTGTTTTTGATGGTTTCTTTATTTGGTAGTAAGCATATTTCTCATATATGCTATATATTTAGATAAATGTTTTATTTTTTTCAGTTCTTTGATCACTTGTTGGCTGGCATAGAAGATATATCAGGACACTGGGGACAATATTACTGGAAGGACAAGTGAGGATTTACATTTATCTTTATGTATGTGTGGAATAAAGAAATGAGTCAATTCTTTCTGGATGTTTATGTGGAATATTTATATTTATACATCTTTATTGTTCCATATGTCATAAATAAACATGCCAGCTAAACATATAGGCAGAGATCTTTTTATTTTCCTTATTGTGAGAGACATGATTGACTTCAAATTCAAATTTCAAATATGCCATAAATTTCTCCCTTATATGTACAGCCTCAGAGAAAGCAATTTTACATCAGATGACTTCATTAACAATTAAAATCTTGCCCCTTAGAAGTCTGAACTTCTTACTTTTGTTTACAGAAACCTGATTCTATTGGCAACTGCTAAAACTTTCCTATCTATGTCATGATGGTCCTCCTGTTGTTCATTCCACTGAAGCCATATAATCCCTCTGCTTACATTTTGAATCCATACAATTCAGGACATTTTGGCTTAAAGTCTATTCATAGTGTTCCTTCTCTCTGGAATGATCCCTTACCACATTCTTGGCTATCCAGGACTTTCTTGCCATTTACATCTTACTTTAAATTTAATCTCATCAGAGATCTCTTTCCTCATTACTCAGTCATTATTGTATCTGTGTAATGCCATTTCCTAACCTATAACTCTCTGGTACTTTAATGTTTCATTTTATTAATTTTTTTCTATTTTGAAAACATAATTACAATACATCACTATTTTTATTATATGTTTCTTTACCATTAAAATAAGAGGTGATGGGATGGACTTTTATCTTTCTTGTTGAATTTTGTTTTACAACACTTAGAATTCCTTCCAAACATAAGTTAATAATAGATATTTCTGAGTGAATAATTGGGTGACAATGAAACATAGAGGCATTTTATGTAGATACAAATCTGATCCTACTTATAGAAATATTTGAATTATTTTAAATTGTAATCTACTCCTAAGTGCTCTGATAACAATGAATATTAAAATCTGTTGCCTTTCTGTAAATTCCTGACAGGAAGGAATGTGTAAAAAATGAGATTTAGTTCTAGCAGGCAGCACTTGGCACAAGCCTAATGATTTGTAGGCATCCTTTTATGTCACCTTCTAGAAAATGTATATATGATAAGAGAACCAGGAGAAGTTCCTTTCAACAATTTTTCTTTAAACTCTGCCAAATAAAGACATCTTTGCCATTGTTATAAATGCAAGGACTCAAGCAAAAATAGATCTTTTCTACTTCTTATTTTGGTCATAGAGAATGAAGATAAATAATGTTTATGTTAATTGATTTTCCATTTCTACTAGGTCAAATAGCAAAATGTGTGTGTGTGTACACTTTTATTTTGGACTTCAACACATACTAGGACAGAACTTTACTACTCTGACACAACCACCTAGCCTAATCTTTTTCTAAATAATAAAGCACATAACTTGGTTGTGCCTATAGTCAAGAAAACCTCAGACTCCTGAAATATCAAAATGTCTTTTAAACTGAAACATTCAACAGAAGTAGATCTCAGTATAGTCTTACAAATTATAGTACAGTTTTAAAACCATAACTTTGACTGTATGCATAAGTTTAGTAAATATTTTCACACAAGTGTTAATTCTCAAATTAATGTAACTTTAGTTTTGTGTCTTGTGCTTTTTTTAAAAAAAACAAAAAACAAAAAAACCCAAGCCCCCCCCAAAAAAAAACAGTGTTACCACTTTTAATTATCCACCATTACTTAAAACTCTTTTTTTTTTTTTTGTTCGGTAGTAAGGCCTGAACTCTGGGCTCAAGGATAGTGCTCTACCACTTGAGCCAGAGCGCCACTCTGGCTTTTTCTGCTTATGTGGTGCTGAGGAATTGAACTCAGGGTCCCATGTATGTAAGGCAAGCACTCTACCACTGAGCCACCTTCCCAGCCCCTCCTGTGCTTTTTTAAAATACAGATTTCTTAAGTAAACCTTAGAAAAATCTACCCGTTTACTTTTCCCATGTTCTGAAACTAAATTGTATCAGGTACCTTGTTCCTTTGTGACTGTCTTTAAAATGTACAAGCTACTTCCACAGTATTTCTGTTTCCAATGCAAGAGTATTTTTCATTAATGGTTCTGCTTTCCCTTGGTGTAGTTGACTCTGTTGGGCTAAACCTAAACTATGCTTTGCTTCATTAGCATATGTTTGCAATTAGGATTTCTTGTGTTTTTCCTTCTTCTGCATATACTAAATTTCCATTTAAATGAAACAAATTTGGAATAGGTATCTGGGAAGTTTATAAATAGAGTCTAAATGTCTTGAGGAAAAATTGCTGGAATTTATTTTTCTTTGCTTATTGAACAGATTGGAATATTTAAATGGAAGATACCTGCAGAAGATTTTACTCAGAGAATATAACCAGTCCAAATCAAGCATTGTGCTTCTTCATGAAAAACTTGAGAGAAAACATGCCATTGAGATGGTAGAAGCAGGCCAGTTAATGCACATGCCATCCAGTACATCCTTACTGTAAGTGTGTGTGTGTGTGTGTGTGTGTGTGTGTGTATGTTACTGTGGGTTTCCATTTGTTTAAACATTACTGTAAAACTACAGAAATCCTCAAAGTATCATCCTTTTAAAACATAGCTTTTCTTTCCTTGTGTTTCTTCTGGAAATCATGAGGAACTATGCTTTTGCCAATTCTTTAAAACTTGAGGATGTTTACGTCATCTCAATCTGCATTGTTTATTATGTAGAGATAAGCACAGCTTAATGAAATAAAACATGTATGTGACAAGTTTAACTTTTCAGAGATTCAAAAGAAATGAAATTGACTAAGAAATGGAATTAAATGTTAAATGTGCTTAAGTCATTTTTTGCTATATTTTTAAATATATATTTTTATTGTAAAGATACTATACAGAGGGGTTACAGTTACATGAATAGGGTAATGAGTACATTTCTTATCAAGCACTTTACCCCCTTCTTTGTTTTTCCCCTACCATCTCTTCCCTTCCACCTCCCCATCTCCTCCCTTCCTCATCTCCCACAAGGTGCAAAGTTTGTTTTTAACATAGTGTCTTGTACATCTCTTTGTTACAATGGGTCAACCTGTATCCATGTTTCAGCATTTTGTTATTTCCCTTCCCCTCCCAAAATTAGAAAAAATGTATATGAAAGATGCAGGGCAACAGAATTAAATACAGTGAAAACAGGGATGATAGTATGGGGGAAGAACACACAAAATAAACAAAAGAATCATATAGTACGTATAAGTACATTACAAACAACAGCAACAAAGATAAAACCTCTTGTCACTAAATTGGGGCTCATTTTGTTTAGCACAATCTTATATGATCATATATGTATAGCTTTTGACCTTTTCTACTTGTCTGGTAAGATTATATACTAGTTGTTGCAAATAAGGGAAAACATAGGGCCTATGTTTCTATGGTTCTGGCTTACTTCACTTAGTATAATTTTTTTCCAAATCTTTCCATTTCCTAAAAAATGGGGCAGTGTCATTCTTTCTGATGAAGACATAGAATTCCATTTTGTTCATACACACACACACACACATCACATTTTCTTTTATTTAATTGTATAATCTTTTTTTTAATTGTGAAAATACCGTACAGAGGGGTTACAATTCATGGGCAAGGTAATGAGTACATTTCTTATCAAGCATTGTTGCTTCCTCCTTTGTTTCCTCTTCCCATCCCTTCCCATCTCTTCCCCCCACCACATCCTACCTTCCCCATCTATCCATCACCCCATGCCAAATTTGTAAAGTTAGTTTTTAGACATAATGTCTTGTACATCTCATTGTTGCAATGAGTCCACCTGTATCCCTATTTAAACAACTTGTTTTTTTCCCTTCCCTCCACAAATTATGCCAACATCAAATACTGTGAAAACACACACATTTTCTTGATCCATTCATCTGCTGAGGGGCATATGGATTGGTTATATCTCAGCTATGGTGAATAATGCTATGATAAATATAGTTGTGCTGGTAACTTTAGTATAGCCTTGTTTGTGATCGTTTGGGTAAATGCCCAAAAGTGGGATTGCTGGGTCATAGGGGAGCTCTATGTGGAATATTTTTAGGAACCTCCGTACTGCTTTCCAAAGTGGTTGAACAAGTTTATACTCCCACAAACAATGCAATAGGGTTCCCTTCTGTCCACATCCCCTCCAGCATCTGTTGTTATTAGAGTTGTTGATTATAGCCATTCTAACCCTGGCAGGGTGGAATCTCAGTGTTGTTTTGATTTGCATTTCTTTCATGGCTTGAGAGATCAAGGATTTCTTCACATGTCTATTGGTCCATATTTCCTCTTCAGAGAAGTTTCTCTTTAAGTCTTTAGTCCACTTATTAATCAGGCTGTTGTTTCTTTGAGGATTTGTTTTTGGAGGGTTTATTTATTTATTTTTTTGATTTCTAAGTATATTTTAGATATGAGGTCCTTGTCTGTTTGGCTGGTGAAGATCTTCTCCCCATCTGTGGGCTTTCTATTGATCTTGCTAGCTATGTCCTTTGCCATGCAGAAGCTCTGCAACTTCATGCAGTCCCATTTATCTAAACTTTCTTTGATTTGTTGTGTTTCTGGGTCTTTATTAAGAAAATTTCTGCCTGTGCCAAGGAGCTCTAGAGTTTCTCCTATTCCTTCCTGTAATGTTTTCAGGGTGTCTGCTTTTACTTCGAGGTCTTTGATCAATTTGGAGTTGATTCTGGTGCAGGGTAATATATAAGGATCTAGCTTTAGTTTTCTACAGGGTTTTTTTTTGGGGGGTCCAGTCGTGGGGCCTTGAGCTCTTCAGCTCAAGGCTAGCGCTCTACCACTTGAGCCACAGCGCCATTTCCGGCTTTTTTTCTTTTTGCTTATGTGGTGCTGGGGAATCGAACTCAGGGCCTCATGCATGCAAGGCAAGCGATCTACCACTGAGCCACCTTCCCAGCCCCTTTTCTACAGGTTTTAATCTGTTTTACCAGCACCATTTACTGAATAAGCTGTCTTTCCTCCATTCTATTTTTTTTTTAGCTCTCTTATCAAAAATTAGGTGACTTTAGGGCTGTGGGTTAATTACTTGGTCTTTCCAATGGTCCTCAGGTCTGTTCTTATGCTAGTACCAAGCTGTTTTGATTACCATGGATATGTCGTAGAGTTTGAAGTTTGGTATTGATATTCCCTCAACACTGTTCTTTCTGCTAAGGATTGTTTTTGCTATTCAGGGTCTTTTATTGCTGCATATGAAATTTTGGATTGCCTCTTCTATTTCCTTGAAGAATGAGGTTGGGATATTGATAGTTATCGTATTGAGTTTGTAGATAGCCTTTGGCAGTATTGCCATTTTCCCAATGGTAATCCTTTCAATCCAGGAGCAAGGGAGGTTTTTCCACTTCCTTAGTTCTGCTTTAATTTTCTTTTTCAAGTTTTTAAAGTTTTCATCATATAGTTCCTTCACTTCTTCAGTGATGTTAACTCCTAGGTATTTTTTTTGGTGGGGCTATTATAAACGGAGTTGCTTTCCTGATTTCGCTGCATTCTTCTAGTTATTGGCATAGAGGAAAGCCACTGTTTTTTTTTTTAGGGTTAATTTTATACCCTGCTACTTTGCTAAAGTTTCGAATCAGTGCAAGTAACTTGGAAGTGGATTCCTTGGGGTTCTTTAAATACAAGATGATGTCATCTGCAAAGAGGGAGAATTTTACTTCATCTTTCCCTATTTGGATCCCCTTTATGTTTGCATCTTGTCTTATTGCTTTAGCTAGGCATTCTAATACTAAATTGAAGAGAAGAAAGTGGACATCCTTGTCTCGTTCCTGAGTTTAGAGGAAATGGCTTTAATTTTTCACCATTAAGTATAATGTTGGCTGTGGGTTTGCCATACACAGCCTTTATTATATTGAGGAATGATTCATGTATTCCTAGTTTTTCCATAGATTTAATCATAAAGGGGTGTTGGCTCTTGTCAAATGTTTTTTTGCATCCACTGAAATGATCCTTTGTTTCCTATCCTTCCTCTTGTTGATGTGATGAATTACATTAGTTCATTTGTGTATATTGAACCAGTTTTGCATCCCGAAATGAATCCTGTTTGATCATAGTATATGATTTTTAAAAAATGAATTTGTTGAAGTCGATTAGCCAGAATTTTTTAATTTTTATTTATTTTTATTGTGAAAATACTGTACAGAGGGGTTACAATTACATGGGCAAGATAATGAGTACATTTCTTATCAAGCATTGTAGCCTCCTCTTTTGTTTCCCCTTCCCATCCCTTCCCATCCTCCACCCCCCGCCCCGATTAGCCAGAATTTTATTGAGAAGTTTTGCATTGATATTCATCAAAGAAATGAGTCTAGCTGGGTGCTGGTGACTCACAAATGTAATTCTAGAGACTCAGGAGGCTGAGATCTGAGGAGCACAGTTCAAAGCCAGCCCCGGCAAGAAACTCTGTGAGACTCTTATCTCCAATAAACCAGTAAAACACTGGAAGTGGTGCTGTGCCTCAAGTGGTAGAGTGCTCACCTTGAGCTGAAGAGCATAGGAACAGCACCCAAGCCCAGAGTTCAAGTCCCACAACGGATAAAAAGAAAAGAAAAGAAATGGGTCTATAGTTCTCTTTCTTTGATGAGTCTCTGCCTGGTTTGGGGATGAGTGTTATGATGGCTTCATAGTGTTTGGTAGTGAACTTTCACTTTCAAATTCATTGAATACTTAGAGGAGTATTGGTGTGAGTTCTTTGAAGGCTTTGTCGAGTTCAGCTTTAAATCCATCTGGTCTGGGGCTTTTCTTGGGTGAGTGGGCTCTTATTGCTGCTTCTATTTCGATGCTGATATGGATCTGTTATGTTGATTAAATCATCTTGGTTTAGTTTGGGCATGTCAATATTTGCTAGAAATTCATCAATTTCTTCCAGATTCTCAAACTTATTGTTTTTTTGGGTGCGGTCGTGGGCCTGAACTCTGGGCCTGGTCGCTGTCCCTCAGCTCTTCAGCTCAAGGCTAGCGCTCTACCACTTGAGCCACAGCACCACTTCCGGCTTTTTTCTTTTTGCTTATGTGGTGCTGAGGAATTGAACCCAGGGCCTCACGCATACAAGGCAAGTACTCAACCACTGAGCCACCTTCTCAGCCCCCCAGATTCTCAAACTTATTAGCATAGAGGTTTGAGAAATATTCCCATATTATGTTCTGAATCTTGGTTGTTTCTGTGGTGATGTTTTCATTCTCATCTCTGAGTTTGTTTATTTGGGTGTGTTCTCTTTTTTTCTGATAAAATTTGGTAAGGTCTGTCAATTTTGTAGATTTTTTGAAGAACCAACTGTTGATTCTTTCTATGTTTTTTGGACTCTAATTCACTTAATTCTGACTTAATTTTAATTATTTGTTTCTGTCTACTTCATTGTGGTTTGTCTTGTTGCTGTTTTTCAAGGAGCTTCAGGTGCCCCATTAAATTGTTGGTTTCACATCACTCCAATTTGTTGATGTAGGAACTCAGAGCTTAAACTTGCCTCTGACTACTG